CGCTACTAGTAGCTCCTGGCCTTACCTAGGAGCAAGGACGCTACTAGGAACATACTTTCTCTCTTTGTATCCAGGCAATTGCCTACGAGGCGCTGGTGGGACGACTCCGAGCTGAGCTGCGCTGGGAGCGTGCGTCGCGACACAGCTGCGAGCAGGCGAGAAGACATGTCCAATCAAATTGCGGTAAGTTTCTGAAGGGAAGGACATAGCATGTGCTGCTCAAAAGGTGCAGGTTTATACAATGCACCTGAAACTTGTCACAAAGGGACCATCAGCAATGCAGGGGTCAGAATAATCTTGCAAGTTCAAACGTCACCATTCGCAGAAAGTAGTGCACGACGTTTGCTTGGAACGTAAAGAGAACCTTTTTGATGACTACCTGGTGACTGATGCCAGCAGGCTTTGGAAACACTTCGTGGCTCGTATGGCCTTGCTTCCAAGTCTTAAATGAAGCTGACTAATTTCAGGATGTGAGTTGCTGGGAGGGCTGAATCAGCTGAGCTTGTTTTGGCGATTGTTTGTGTAGGAGAGGGGCCGAGAGAGAGGCCGAGAGAGACATAGAGAGAGAGAGAGAGGTGATACTGCAATTGAAGGCTCCATACATACTCAAGCTTGTAGCCCTGCATCTACGGAATCTATGGTTTCGGGACTTTGCACCAAGGTCTCCTGCTGAGCAGAGTTCCATCAAAGTGCTAATGGCCTTGACTCCTATCGTGGAGTTCATGGGGATTTTTAATTTCTGGCACATGCCGAGTGTACAATAGTTAAAATAATCGAGCCGTCCTGGCTTCACGCGAAATGTCCTCTTCAGCGTTGGCTGGAAATAGATTCAATGTGGTTTGAGTGATCCATAATCGGGCCTGAGTATTGTTTGCGCCTCTATTGAATATCTTGCTCTTGTGCATCAAGCAATCCAATGCCATTTTGGCTCAGTGCTTTATTTGATTGTTTCTCGTTTTGCAGTCTTTTTCCTTTTGGCGCTGTGCGCGCCCAAAGTGCAAGGCGAGGCTTGAACACCATGCCATTCTTTCGCAAGGCAAGGTTTGTTAGTCAGTGTCAAAACTTCTCCAACTGGGCTCACGTTTATTTTGGTCGATCTTCAAAAGCTGCTACTTTGTACAAATTCCGCACAGTAATTATTCGGATACGGCCTGCGACAAGGGCCTGCTAAAGTTTAAGTTGCCAATTAACTCTGTGATGCAACAGTGCTTTCATGGTGGACGACGCAACTTTCGGTGGTGCTGATTAGGTCAGCTCCACTCATTTGCTTGGGATGTTGACGAGTGCCTGATAGCCCCTCCTCAGGCGATGCCTCCTAGCCTGGATGATTTTATTCTGATGAAGGCAATGAAATGACATAGTCTTGCAGAAAGATGTCAGATGTGAGATCCTCTGACAATGATAGCATGTTTAAGTCAGAGTTGCAACATCGTTCGGTGTTCAGGTGATAGGGAAAGGATCCTATGGAAAGGCACGAGCAAGGGCGTTTGTGACAGAGGTGATGTTTTGTTGGTGGCTGAACTAGGTGATGCTCGTGCGGCACAAGACCGAGGGAGAGGAACCAGTAGTCTATGCAATGAAGATGCTCCGCAAGGATTTGTTATGCGAGTGGTTCCGGCGCCTTGCGATCGGCGTGATTCAACTTTTGAGGGCTCAGTGGAAAGTCAAAAGTCATTACTTGGTGAGTATCGGTATATTTCAGAATTGCAGGAGAATGTGATAAAGCGAAACCAAGTTGAGCACACGAAGACCGAGAGAAATGTATTGGAGGCGCATCTTTACTGTAACATCGAAAGCCAGCCGATAGGCTAGGCTGGAGTTGTTGATGGGCGAACGAATCTGGCCAGTTTGGGTAGGGCAAACCCAGAGCCTGGTGGGGGAGAGCGAAAAAACGAAGGTGGTCCGAAAAGCAATGAACATGTATGGTTTTTGGGGGAAGTGATGTAATTGACACGGAAGAGTGCATCATTAGCATCATGAGGGGCTCAGGAGGCTATTTGGACAGTCATTCGACAAGGTGGGAGGACAGGAAAGGGGGGACAACGTGGGTCGGAAGTCCACCAGGAAAATGAGATGTGCATCTCTCAACACTCTGTTTTCTTGTGGCTAGTAAGAGTGTAAGGGAACGCAAGAAACGACTTCACCCGTGGAGGACAGGAGAGGGAACAGAATGCAGTCGGCAAGCTTTGAGTTGCTTGGGGGAGCCCATTTTAATGTCCTGCCACTTCATTTCTCTATTGAGCCCGGTCCGTCACTTCACTTCTTTATTAGACCCGGTCCGTCAGTTCACTTCTCTACTCAAGCCCGGTCCGTCGTCTCACTTCTCTGTTGAATCCGGCCCGTGTTTTCATTTCTCTATTAAGCCCGGTCGGTCATTTGATTTCTCCGAGTACAAGGCTTCAGCCTTACTTGCGCTTCACGCCGCCGGCACGAAGCACAAGGGAGGAACCAATAGCACAAATGCTATGGTGTGTTGCGCTCCGATAGGGTCACGCGCGCTGCGCGCCGCGGGCACGAAGCACAAGTGGCCAGAAACAGGTGAGCCACCACCCAAAATCACGGAGCCGACTGCGATCGGGAGTTGCAGAGGCAGAAGAAGGCAAAAAACAGCGGATAAAACTCAACGTGGAACTCTCAAAAACCTTTCAAAAAATCTAAAAATGCAACCCTGCCCATGAAAGTGACGACGCAAGTGGACTTTCTACTGGAACGGTGCTTGGCCTTTCACTCAAACCAATTTTTTCCTAACGCATGGGCTCCACTTCTATCCTATAACGGCTAATGGGCCTTGACCGAAAGAAATCGAAACCTTGTGTATACAGAGCCTGTCCATATCGTCCCTCAATGCGAGACTTTCCGCCTTTGCCTTCTATTTTCCCATGCCCGACGGCAGTTCCAGTGCGCTGTCGAGTTCACCCCATAACCACATTGATGTCTTCTTACGGAGGCTGGCTTTCGTTTCCCTTCTCAGGTTTTATGTGCTGTATATTCATATGTCAGGCCTGCTCACACGACTCACCAAAAATTCGCTGCCAATGCAAGTCAGGCGGTCTCTCACCCTTTCATTGTGACGCTACACTATGCATTTCAGACTCCGAAGAAGTCCCTGGCTCAATTCAAACGTACGGCCTCAGCAGTAAGCAGCGAGGGTTGAATGCGGCCAAGGTTGTACTTTGTCCTTGAATACTGCGTTCGCCTCAAGGGTTTTGAATGAAGAACACGCATTTGAGGGGGTTTTGCTGAAATTGCGCTCATACTGGTGACAGTAAAACTCAAGGTCCTGGTGGAGAGCTTTTCTTCCACCTTAGTCGAGCTGGACGCTTTGCGGAGGGCAGATGCAGGTACTGTGGGAGTTTGCAAGCCATGCCTTCGCGGATCAGGAGGGTGTGCTAGTTAAATTTCCCTGAACAACTAGGAACCAAATCATTAGTGCGAGCACTTCGTTGAAGATCTTGAAGCGTGAACTGTCCTGCGTTCTACCTAGAAGCTAACTTAGCCTAGTAGCGAACTATTCGCCTTAGTCGCCTTACTTAATTAAGTAGGACCTAAGTAGGAGGTGGGCCAGAAAAGGAAAAATGGCAGCGTGTCAATACTGCGTTTGGTGAACTCTGTGAGGAAGTTGCGTTTTGGTGGTGTGACTTTCAAGTCCTTTGTTTTGTTGTCTTGGCTGGAAAGCAAGGGACTGGACCCCTTGCAGCAGGAGGTGCACAATTTCATCACTGAGCTTCGAACGTTCTTGAAATACAACCATCAGAGACATGGGCCATGAGTGTGAAGAAGTGTATATGTTCTCTTCACATGGAAATGCATGAACCATGAACACATTCCTTTTGTGGAAGAACTTCAAGACTACACCTTGCGTTTTTTGTGAATTCTCCAGCACGGTCTGTTGCAACCTCCACGGGAACTTGCGCTTCCAAATCTTCGGCTGTGGGACCCAACGTGGCCGTCTCTGCAATGTTGCACTGCTTCAGCGGGCTGCTCCGATGGCTGCTGAAGAGATGTCGCCGGCGAACAGTGAAGGCGATGGAACCAGCAAGCCTGCTGCAGTCTTCTGCTTTCCTTGCTTGTTGCCTTCGTTTTCGAAGCTATATAGGTTTACTTTCTGCTCGTCCCGACGACATTCGGATTTTCCTGCTTTGGTTGGACTGGACTGACCAACTTGGAACTCTTATATAGCCACAGCGAGCGAGCAGAAGATGAAACAGCACGGAGATGCATCATGGAAACCACGATACTTGCAATGCTGAACACTGGCCCGTCAATGTTATAAAGCAAGGCCGTTGTAACAGTGTGAAACAACAAACGCACTGCGGAAGGGGCTTTTGGCGTTGTTTTGTTTAGCGAACGTTTGACAACTGAAGTATTAGTTGCAGGCAGCGATGGCTTCAGTGAATGGGAAGCAGTACCGAGTCGTTAGGATCTTTGCTTGCAACAAGTTAGGAGCAAGGACGCTACTAGGGGCTCCTGGCCGTACTACTAGGAGCAAGGACGCTACTAGGAACAAAGAGTTCATATGCCACATAGCTTCATGTTCAGTTTGCTGGCTCCGTTTTTCGCATTTGAGGAACTTCAACGGCAAAATCACGCTCAGAACCGTCTCAGTCTGAGCTACTCCCAAACATACAGTGGATTGTTTGCGCAGTTGAAGTGATGCTATTCTGCTATTCATCTCTTGATCCCTTCGGTGTATGAGTTTGCCTTCAGAATATGCCAAGACATGAAGAGACATGAAGAACTTAGTAGCGATGGCCTTTAACCTAGAAGCGATGGCTTCCAACCTAGAAGCGATGGCCTCCAACTTAGAAGCGATGGCCTCCAACCTAATGCCAAGGCATGAAGAGACTGTTTTTCCTTCATAGAACGACCTGAGGGGCTGGACTATGATCTCGCCAATGATGATGATGACGATCAGCCCACGAGACTGTCCTGCTGGGGCTTTGCCGGCAAGGAGTGAAAGGCATCATGCTCACTCGCATCGCATCGCATCTTTGGTTCGGTTTCAATTGTATACTTTTTTCCTCATTCTTTGCACACGCATTTGCTCCTTCCAGGACTATGCTCGTATGTCAGAGACGACAGAAGAGACAGCTTCGCCAGATCTATCAGAAGATGGAATGATGAGCGAAGACCTGTCCAACCCTCACCTTGTCTCAGTTTTCAACACAAAATCTGATGCTGAATCAATAGGCTTTCGCACAAGTGTCCAGTGGTGGTCGAGAGGAGTGTCTCCAGGTCAAAAGCTGAGGGTCCTCCACAGCCCCGAACAATTTTCCATGCTCTACATCAAACCTTCGATGATCTTCGTGCCTTTGAGTGAAAGCAAAGCTTCGGAGCTTGTGAAACTCTGAACATTTGGTGTTGAAATGCTTGGACACTCCAGAACACAAGTTGTAGAATCTGCAGAAGCCGAAGCGGCCAAGCCAAGGCCGGATTCTCCCTGAATTGTCGTGGAAAGGATTCGATGCCATCCAAATCCCTCCAGCACACGTCAGTCGTCAAGGTGCTTCGGTATGCTTTGACGGCTTTGCAAGATTTGCAGCGCTTCGCTAGTTGGCGTTTGAACGGTGACATGTTTGTCAGGTGATTTGCGTCGAGACTGGTATCTACGCTACCAACCTTTGAGCTATGAGCACGTGGATCTTGCTTTAGGCCCCACGGCATGCCCTTGCTCGTCGCAACGCCTTTCTTGCAGGGTTGCGCTGTTTCGCCTTGATTCCACCTACCAGGTGGAGCTGAGAGCTTGCAGCGACTTTGCGAAGAAGCGCACGGCTACGGAATCATGGTGCGCCCTGTCCAAGTTTAGGTCAGTGTAGGTGCGAAGGTTTGTCAAGACACTGCTTGTCAACTAACAAATGAATCCACATTGCAAGAGCTCGACATCTAAGGATTGCTGATTGCGTGTTCAATCACATGGCCGTTGTGGCCTCGTATCAGGAATGGCAGGAAGCTCAACATGATGGGCACAAGATGGAAGAGCTCAAGCAACGGCTTGACCACTCCTTTGGTCCTCATTTCGATCGCCATGACTTTCAGTTCCCCTGGATCCCCCTGGAGGGCGAGAAGTGGGACGATCCAAACTATACCTTTGAGGGCTGGGGATGTGGTGAATGGAGTGAGCTGCGATGGAGCGACAAGGTGGTGTCTCGCCATTTGCAACATCTTCGCATGTTGTTGGATTGTGGTGTGACAGGATTCAGGATTGATGCTGCCAAACACATGAGGCCACAGCATGTGGCAAAGTATGTGGACTTCGTGCAAGGGGAAGGCGCCTTCATCTACACCGAGGTCTTATCCATGGACCGGAACGTGCATTCACAGTATGAGAGGTTGGGTTTTGGTCTGCCATCCACAGACTTTCTTCTCGCAGCCTCGCTTGCAAAGACTTGGCGAGAATCCGACGCAGGGCACTTATCTGCCGAGTTGCAGGCAGCAGAGCACCTGGGAAGCCACTCCGTCCAGTTTGTCAGAAACCACGACACCATGCTCAACGATGGGCCAGCCATTTGTGGAATTGATTGGTCCAGTGCAGAAGAAGCATCCTTGGCCTGGGCATACTTGATCGCTAAGAATGAAGGTAGCGTGCTGCTCCACCAGGATGACATTCACACACCCGTCGTTCAGGCAGCTTTAGCCTTCAGATCAGCCTTGTCATCAGTGTTGGCTTCGGCTGTTCCTTACTCCATTAAGGCTGAGCTGGTGGCTTGGCCTCCGCCCAACTACAAGACCATTGCAATGATGCTCACTCTAGCAGAGTGTCCAGTGGGCTTGGCCGTTTTCAATATAACTTCGCAGAAGCAGAACATGGAAATCCCTTGGCAGCTGGAGAACTACAGCTTGCAGGAAGTGAAGGCAAACTCTCGTGATGAACACCTGCAGGCGGACTGGGTCACCCCACGGGACATGCGCGCTGTGAAGCAGGATTAATTGATACTTGCCTTCGCTCGTCCTGGACACCTAGTTGACAATTGCACGGGCACGAGCTGCTTCCTTTTCTCACAATTGGTTGTTTTCAACATTGGGTTATATTGGATTGTTAATTAGGATGCAAAGGGACTTCGAAGATGGTAAGGACGTATTCACAAGGTGTTTCGTCATTGAGTTCCCGAGTGCCCCGAGTATTTTGGCAGGCTGGATGCTCTCCTAAGCATTTGGATAAGCATTTGCAGCCACGGATGGCTCGCTTCTTCCTGTTGGAGTGTTTCACAGGGCCGTTGATCCAGCCAAACCCACAGCTTCGCTACATGACGCGACTTGGCACCTTAAGACAGATTATATACATGCTACTTGCAGGATGATTTAAAGTGACCTTAAACTTAATAGCGATGGCCTCCAACCTAAGAGCGTTAAGGCATACTTGGTTGAAAACTCTGATGGTGGAAGCGCAACATTTTTTGTGCCTTGTGGATTGTGACCATCTCAAAGTATGTTCCCTCAGGCTGTTCTACTACTGTGGCTGGGAATGTCCCCATATCCATTTCTGCGTTGAACACGTTTGGACCAACGTGCCTGGTTGGGTCCTGAGAAAGTGCGACAAACCAGCTGTGCAAGGCGCTCTCCACATGTTTGAAGGAAAGATGCCAAAGAGAAACAAGTTAAGTTTCCCTAACTAACCTTTCAGGAACCAAATCAATCATGCAAAGGGTTCTTCAAGGACAATCTGTCTAGGAGCTGCTTGCAAGCTAGAATTATTAGCGTACGTCTTCCCAACCCCCCTGTGGCCTCCAGAGACGAGAGACTAGGCTCCCACGGGTAGGTCCGTGCTCCGATCAGTCCGATCGGTCTGACCGCAGGCTTCAAGCTGCCCAAATCGTCGCATCATGGACGCTGGTGGCGTGTGGACATCCCTCTGAGGAAGCGCTGTTCCGTGGAGTTTGTTCTGAACGATGGAGGTCATAGCGCCTTGGCAAAGACATCGGAAGTGACTCAGGTTATTCAGAAGATTCAAAAGAACTTGCAATTGTTCTGTCAGCATTGTTTGTGTGGGTAGGGAGAGCAGTTATGATTTGATTTACAGCTTGACTGTCAAGCTGTTTGTTGTGTAGGCTGGGACAACCATCCCAGTGCCCTGGGAAATTATATCGCTGAAATGCCTGGCTTGCACATCCTGGTGAACAAGAAGCTAGCGCGGCTTGGATTTAAAGGCTTGGATAGTTCCATTTGTCCTGTTTGCAGAGCGGATTTTGGTTGAGTTCTCCATTTGTATCTAAGGAGCTTATGCCTGTAGAATCGAAGGAGTCCCCAAAGTGAGGGATGAATTAAAGGTAGGTGTAGTGCACAATTTCTCAATCCTGGGAGATGATCAGACAACTTTGCAGATATAATATGTACTGTAGATAGATATATGTGGAGATGTTTCGACAATTAGATACAACAAGTGATTTTGATCGATCCCCATGACTGTTTCTCCAAAGCCGACCGCAAGTGTTCAGATGCCATAAGCCTTTGAGCTGGCATTGAAAGATCATGAGCTTCAATTGAATCAATTGAGCGGCCGAATGCCTCTTTATTCCATTTTTCTCCAGGCCCGCGTTGAAACCTCTCTTTTTTGCGTTGGCCTGTGACAAAGATTTCAAGTGTCGCTGCTTGAAATGAGACAGCTTACGGCCAAGCCACAAGCTCACACTGTTTCCTGCAGTGAGATTGTTTGAGCACTTTCAGCCAGGCATGCAGACAGTGACAATGATGTACTTTTTGAATCTAGGATCATATGGTTTTGTTGATGCTTGCAAAGCCCTAGCTGAGAGTATACGACTGGAGCCTTGCACACCCGGGGCATAATTTTGGATCACGGCAGACAATGGCTAAACAAGCCTCCCAGCTCCCCCTAGTTGTTCACAAGTTCTGCAACATATCCTTTTGGTCTTAGAACTCAGAACCTTCTTCATGGTTTGATCACCTTTAGCTTCTGCCTATCGGATTATCGTCTTGTGTACACTTGGACTTTGGTCCGGGAGCGCAGTTAAGCTGCATCTACCTCCGCACAGGGCCACGAGCCTCTGACAGAGACTGGAGCGAACGCCTCGAAGCTACGGAGGGCTCATGCCATGAGGATCGTCTTGGGACGAGCAGCTTGACGAGCGGCGGCTGCCGAGAGTTCCAAAGGGCTTGGGGAGTGAAGCACATTCGGTGCGTACTGTGATGTACCATGTAAGGCAAGGATACAAAGAGAGAAGGCAAAGATACATCATTTGATGCTCCTTGGTGCTCCCCAAGCTGAAAGCCCTGCGGAAAGCTCCTGATTTGAAGAATGCTTTTAATCAAATAGAGGCAGTAGAGGTAGACGTTTGGACCTTGACGTTTTCCTCACAGTTCAAGGCCAACTTGGTGTGTGAGAGGAGTTGCTAACAATCGCTCAAGAACAAAAGCGGTTCAACCCTTTGCTTTGTCACTTCAGTCAGCTGTGTACTCCTAACATGCACATCGTAATCTTGTGTCCATGCACAACTTGCCACGCCCTGAATCTAAAAGAAGCGTGGAGAAACAAGCTTTACTCCAGTGCAGAGACCCAGATACTTGCCAGAATACGTTGAGATATGTGTGGACTTGAAGATGTTAAGGTTCTCCAAAATGAAGCTGGTCTCAACAGTCGAAACACTTGACCACTCGTGCCAGGTTCTACGCCTGTGAGATCCTGCTGGCCATCGAGTACTTGCATAGGTGCGGTTGTTCGATGTCACTCACTATGAGTCGGCAGCTTCGGGCTTGACGCTTCCAGACGAAGCATGAAGCTCCTATCACCTCGTACTTGTTGCAGAGAGATGTTGACACCATTTTGTCTTGGCTTTGGCAAGGCTTAATATCATTTACAGGGACCTGAAGCCAGAAAATATCCTGCTGGATGCTGCCGGTTGCAACCTCAGCTGAAGGAAACGTGGTTCTGAGAAGTTGCAATAGATCTTTGTGTGGCAAAATCATTTCTTTGGGCATCACCCTGACATCTGACAAACAACTGGGTGCAAAGTGGCATATCGCAAGGTATTTGTGTTGTGTGTACGGTATTTCACGAGAACAAGCTCGTGCAGCTGGTAAGGCCATGTGAAGCTAACAGACTTTGGCCTCAGCAAGGAGGGCATCCAGGAGCCAGTTCTTTTGCACACCAGGGTTTCACACCAGGGTCCATCAGAGTATCAATCACAACTGTAATGATGTTCTGAGCATTCTTTTTTCAGATTGTAAGCGAGCAAGGGATCCCCCAAACCCATGCAACTTTAAGCTTTGTCTTTTTTTGAAGTCGTGGTAGTTGACACACACACACACACTTATGATTTTGCGTACGGAACTGAAAGCGGTTGCCACATGCCAGCCTAAGTAAACCGCCTAAGGTTCCAGGTGGTAATTTGAAGTTCAATTTGAGGCCTCCAAAACCTATAAACACGAGAGCGAACGGCGGCGACAGGGTGACGACGGGTCGTGCAGGTCTGCGGAGCTCCAAAGGCCCAAACACTCCAAAGTGAATCGCCGCTGCATTAGACGTTTACTGCAAAGCACAGAAGTGGAACAGCTTGTCCATTAAGTAGGTTTCTCTCCAAGCAGGTACGTCAGTCCGGCGTCCCGGATTGACTTCACAGACCAGTGCAAGCGTCTTTGTTAGTGCCAGACTTGCACGGTCCCTGGCACCCCTGCTGTCAACCGAAGTAAAAAGCAAGCAGTACATTCCAAAAGGATCCCTGTGACTTCAAGGGTCACACGCACACACACACACACACACACTTGAGAAAGAGAGCTTGTAAGAGCACAGTTCAGGGTGTGGAATTAGCACTTTGCCTAGATTTGTAAAATTAGCGTTAGACGAATGCACTAGCCCTTTACTGAAAATTCAGCGCTGTCCTTACGTAGGCTCCACGAAAGTCAAAGAGCAGGTACGTCAGAGTGGCCAACTCTGATATCACCAGATCAATATTGGGCGTCGTCGTTGGTAGCGGTCCCAAGTGCTCTGCCGCTACCCCCGGCTGCAGTTTTATAATGAATAACGTCGGTAACGACAAAGAGAGTCAAATAAATCAGAGTAAGAGCCTCTGGAGATGGGGTGTGAGAGGGCAGGGAGGTGCTCCTTAGTGACATGGGCCTGATCCTGGGGTAGGTGTACAGGCGGATTGTGTGAGTGCGAGATTGCAGACCGGATAGGCGGAGGCGATGGCCCCCAGCTGAAGCATAGCTCGTACTTGCCATTGCTTGATTGGGCGCCCACGGCATGAGCAAGTGTGCGGAAAGGATAAATCTGTCGTCAACATGTCGGGTGGATAGGAGGTGAAGGGTTGGTTGTTGGAGGAAGGTGTGGTGGACTTGGAGGATTGCTGCATTACATAAGGGTGATTGCTACATTACATAATGCCGATGAAAGTTGGGATCCGATGCCCGCACCACAGGTCTGCTTGTATGCGGTGCCACAAGCGGTGAAGATGCAGGTTTCGCTAGCTGCACGATGTGAGGAATGTTTTGGGTCTCGATGGTGCGTTGTCCAGAATGAAGTTCTATTCTATGTGTAGTGGGAGTGTTGGCCGACGTGTGATTAGGGTTGCCGGTGGAGTGAATGTCAATGGCGATGGTGGTGACTGAGTGTCCATTTGGTGGTGAGGCATTGCTATTTACAGTGCACACTTTTTGGACAACATGCTGCCATTCACAGCATATATGCAAAGACCTTGGTTTCTGTAACATTCCCTTCCAGTGCCCCCTGTTTGCGACGTTCTCTGCCTTTGCACATGTTATGACCACACACACATCGCAAAGCACAACACAACATTACACATTAAATACAGTGTTTCTCGATGTTTCTCGAACACAATACGTCCCAGTTGCATCAATTTCAAGTAGACACCGACAAACACATGATTTAGGGCAGCCCACAATAATTCACGACTTCGTCCGAAACAGAAAAATTCATTCCTCTGAACAAGCTGCTAGCTTGTGGCAGAACATGTCCAAGTCGCAACAAGGAAAGCAGTCTTAAAAGGCTTTGGCTAGTGACAGGCCTGTCGGAGGCCCTGTCAAAAGCAAGACAAGTGACAAGCCCCAACTATGGTAATGTGCGCAGACGGGCACCCCCAACCCCTATGCTATGCGGGGACTCTCCACAGTGTAGAATCGTGTAGAAAAGGAAAGAAGGAAAGAGAGATGAACGAAAGGAAGGTAAGGGTACCATTTAGGGTACCATTTAAAGCACGTTGCCTTCCGTTTTTAATTTTATCTTTCTTTTTGTTCAGCAGGGTTGTTTCAACGACACAGCGCCCACACAGTCTCAACCTTCTCGGCACATCGTGAGGCGGGGTCAGCGGACAATGTATGCTGTATCTAAAAGAAAGGCAAGCATGTTTCTGGACAAATTGATGCAACGATACCCAGAACATGGAACAGCAGAAGCTGCCTAGACAGCGCCCCTTCCATGTTTCAGTAAAATTGGAGCCTTGGCTGTAAATATGACTGTGATCCAATCATGGATAGGAGGTGGTAAGAATTTTATGTTTCTTGTACACTGATTGTTTAGGTTTTGATCACTGAAAGAAAGGTCGGTTTTCTGTCAACAAGACTGCTTTGAAATGCACAAACCTGCAATGAAAATCCACTGTGCGATGTACTGACTATGAATCAATGTAAGATGTTGAAGGCAACTAAACATTTTTTTTCATGTTTTCTCCACAAAGTCGTCTGACCACACCATTGGGAGGACAACTTCTCAGCAAGGTCCATGTGCGGCGCGAAGCTCAAAACAGAGACCCCCCCCCCCCCCACCCCCACACACACACACACACACACACCCACACACCCACAAACGTATCAGCTGATTCACCTCCAGTACCACATCTACTTTCTCCATTAACACCGTGCAGCGAGGTTGAGTCCAGAACCTGCACACAATCAAAACCGTTGGCCGGATATGTTATGAGACACAGTAATTCCTTTTGTGTCAGTTCAACAACTCACATGTTCAAGAGCAGCAAACCTTGACAATGGTATGTGGGAGACAGCTGCAAACCTGCGTGGAACCGCGGTACAGGGAAACTTGGGGCCTCTGAGGTACTCCTGAGTACCTTGCACCTGAGATCTTGGACAAAAGAGGGCATGGCAAAGCAGTTGACTGGTCGGCTGGCTTTGTTTGAAACACCATGGAAAATGCATTGCACTTGCATTTTGTCTTGCGATTCGTGTGATAAACACCAAGTCTAAAATCTTGTTTCCATATTCCATAGGTACTCTTTGGGTGCATTGATGTATGAGATGCTCACCGGGTGGTCTTCTGAGCTGTTTTCGATTCAGAAATTCAGCGACGGCTGCCTGTGATGCAGAGAGCGCCGGTCTCCATCCTGAGGCTTCCGCCTTTCTACACCAGAGATAGGGAAAAGCTCTTTGAACGTATTCGCCGGGGAGAGCTGACCTACCCCTCTTACATCACCGCCATTGCTGGGAGCATAGTATGTTACTCTCACTTTGTTAAACTTTTGAACAATGCCGAACAAATTCGTGCGAGCTTTGTAGTGCAAGCATTCCAAACAATGGGGCTGATTGTGAGAATACAGGCTCAACAGTGTAACAAGGTACTCCGTTTAGTGAAGTAGAATCAAAGCAACATGATTGATGTGATTCAGCATACATTTTGAGTAGAATTTGAGCGATGCATTAGGCAAAGAATCTACTACAGCAGCTTCTCACAGGAGCTGCAGCCTTGGATTTTGGACACACGCAGATGACGCAGACATTTGGTTTCCACCGAAGCAAGCTGAAGCAGGGAAGGACTTGGTTGTAGCCAGCGGGTTGGCTCAAGCTTCTGCCTGCGAGCAATTCGCAAGTTTCTTGAACATGTTTTGGGACAACTTGAGAGCAAATCAGTCAAGACTCAGAAAATCTCCCAGCCACAACCACTCTTGGCCATGATGATCCCATCTTCAAGATGTTGGCAATGGAGGCCGGGCTTGCAGACTCAGGAGTCATTGCAGGTTTGAGTTGAATTGGGGGCTGCATTTCGAGTCTGTCTGTATATTCTGTAGATTCATTGAGGATGATACTATAGTATGAAGTGTTTGTTGCTAGAGCCAAAAGTTCCTTCACTTCGCGGAGGCATGGCATTGGAGAATGCTTTGCGGCAACTCCTTGTCAGAGATCATCCCGCTTCTCTTCAACGGCTTGTGACTGCACCGAGGCCATGGTACCAAAAGTGTACCCCGAGTGTACCCATTCTTCAAGGGAGTACGACCTTAGTACCTGTGATGCCTTATGCGTGGTCCTAGAGTGCATCTGCAAGACATCACCAATGCCCAAACATCTGCACTGGAGCTACTGGTGTTGGTTGCCCATTTGCCGAATGGTAGGTCACAATTGCTGGATCTGGATGCTTCCAAGCTTTGCCGTCTTGCCTGGGTCCTCGGCAAGCGGCAGGAGGGGCTTCCACCTGGTAAGACTCGGTAAGACATGTACTGTATCTAGATGCTTATATGATCAAGACAGATCACCCAAGCAAAAGATTCATTCACAGTACAAACAAGTTGCAAATGGGTACAACGTGTGGCTGATTCTCAGCTGGTCAGTGGATTGAAGACGTAAGTTTTCAAGACATCAGGCGACATTTCTCAAAAGGTCAGGCTTGCAAGTCAATCGATTCAGATTTTGGAAGCAATTTTACTGAGTCCTTTCTGCCAGCCCCCCAGGACGCAGGTGCGACTCGGGCAACTTCACGGACACATGAAGCAGGACTTCCGGGCCGAATGGGAGTTGCATGAGTTGCTTACCTGAAGAGAACACAATTCTCTTTCCATTGGTACAGTTGTTTGCTTTACAGGCACAACCAGGCCGAGTCACTTGATCTACATGTTCCACAAGACCTTGGAACTGTTTCTTGTGGCAAGCTTTTTTGACCATCCCTGAGTGACATGGGAGAAGCTTCCCTGAAAAACTGGCGCTTTGATTGACTGGGCTTAAAAAGACTTGGTAAACAAAAATGATCTCTCAAAGGACTATTGCTGCGCTTGCAGCCCTTGCTTCGCTTCGAAAGCTGCCGGGATGTGGGCATTGTGTCTTGGGCTTTTGCGCGGCAGAGGCTCTTGGAGAAGCAGTTTCTGCCCATAGCCTAGCAGAATAGCAAGTCTCAACAGAAGAACTGCATATGTTGAAACTGAAAGCATGCTGAAATGTTCTGTGACTCGCTTGTTTTGAATTGTCTGACGTGGGCAAAGCGCAAAAAGTCCTGAGAAAGATCAGTCTCAAATTTGTCTTCACAAAAAACGCATCTTGAGTCTATGGGACCTAGGGCCAGAAATTTGTTTTGCCCAGGCTCCACTTGATCTCAGTGTATGGAACACTCAAGCCTGGAGACCCAGCAACTTGGATACATGGGCACATGCTGTAACCGTTACCCTCTTGAAGTTGCTGACAGACTAGGTGAGTGTCAACTCTCTTTGGTTTAGCATTCCAAACAACTCGGTCGGACTCAGTCCTACAGTTCTACAGAATTTCAGAAACTCATGCCGAAGGAACATGAATGAAGGAACCTGACTTGTGAAGTTTGCTGAGGTTCCCTGTGTTACTAGTAGCGTCCTTGCTCCTTTTTAGTAAGGGCAGGAGCCCCTAGTAAAGCGTCCTTGCTTGTGAAGTTTGCTGAGGTTTCCCTGGCCAATCTTCTATGGGCCAGTGCCCTCGCCTCCGTTTCGCTTTCGCCGGTGGAGCAACTGTTAGCTGCTCACCGGGAGGTCCTGGCTGAGGCGAAGAGCGCGGAGCTTGCACGACTGCTGTGGGCTTTAGGCGCTCTTACTTTTGGCAGACATGCTAAAAGGGTGAGGATGTTTGCCAAGAATGACATGCTCTAATCCAGGGTTTGACAGAAGGTTCGGCGTGTTGGGCCCCTCAGTGAATTACCACTAAGAATAAAGATGAATTATATAAATGAACATGTGGGAGGTAGGATAGTTTCACCATCGTGGAGGACACTTGCAGAAGTCTTTTATTTCTCTTTACTATTTTTTACCTGGCAGGTTCAATGCGCGTTGCAGACACTGTCTTTCACCGGAGCAAGGAGATCATGTGGCGAGATGCCAAGACGCAGGATCTGGCAAATACCCTGTGGGCCTTGACACGTGTGGGTTGGTCGATGCCAGAGGATCTCATTAAGGAACTTGAGTCGCGCCATTTACCGACCATTGAACTGGTTGCATGTTTATCTGCCTTGGCGGAAGCTCGAAACGTGTCCAGCAGCCTGTGGCAAAAAGCGGATCCAAAGGCAGGCACTTGGTGTGGTCATTCTCCAAGTGCGCGTGCCCTAGGCACCTTGCTTTGGGCTCATGCCACAGCGCAGGTTGACCCATCCCCCAATCTCTTGAAGGAGTTGAGGATTTCAGTGATGTCTCCGCAGTCGTTGGCCAATTCCCTTTGGTCGCTGGCCAAGCTCCAAGTCGATATCCCCGCAAACGCCATCGACGAATGTCGGAAGATCCTGCAAAAAGACCTTGCAAGATTCAAGCCCCAAGAGTTTGCAAGCTGTGTGTGGGCGATTGGCTCGATGGAGAAGCCTGCTGTTGAGTTTTTTGAATCACTGCAGCTACCCGACCTGCGCCCATTTGAGGATCATCATTTATCTCAGGTGGCCTGGGCCTTTTCCTCTGCTGGAGTAAGGCGTTTGGAAGTCTTGGAGTTGCTGGCTTCTGAGATGCTCTGCCGCAATGGCTTTAGCTTGCAGGCCATTGCAAACATCACATGGGCTTTGAAGAATCTGGAGTTTGCTCAGTTTGCTCCCCACGCTGCGGCCCTCCATGCGCACCTGCAGGGTCTAGTGGCTCGGAGACTCATTTTGTCTCATGGCCTGCCGGCGAATGAAGATGTGGACTCTTTGCTTGGGATCCTTTGGGCCAATCGGGAGAATGATGTGTTGACAGGTGCTATCACAAGCTCTTTGCAACGTCTTGGCCGGAAAATGGATCTTGCCCGTCAGTCAAACCCACAATCTGGGATTCTAACACAAGCTTGCGATGAGCATGCAGACACTGATCAACCTCGATTGCAATTGGAGGTACCAGGCGTTGTAGTGATATACAAACCTCACGGCTGGGAGGTAGACACTGTCAGCACAGAACAGTCAGGACGGAAGCTCTCGACATTCATTCGTTCACGCTTTGATCTTGAAGGCTTCGTCAGCCGCCTGGATACGCCTTCAAGTGGCCTGTTGCTGTCTGCCACCTGTTATGAGGGGCTCCTTCTACTACAAGCGCAGCGTGAACTTGGCCGCTTGGAACGAGACTATTTGGTGCTCTGCCGAGGGTGGGTCCATGGTGATGGAGAGATCACCTGGAAGCTACGGCGCATTGGGCGTAAAACAGAGGTCTCTGTGTATGGCCGACCAGCATGCACCAAGGTGAAGCTTTTGGCCCAGCTCTCGGCTGATGGTCAGACATCGCAGAACAAGGTGGGCCAGCCCAATATATGTTGCAGACTTGCACACATGTCACATATGCCATACCATATATTATATATATATGTGTGTATATTGGTATGGAGACACTCAGGTATTATTTCATGCTATCCCAGCTAATTTGCGGGCCGGCAATGTCCTCGAATCTCACCGCGAACCGAGGTTTCTTTGCTTTGCTTGAGGATCGAATCAGGGCGCATGCATCAGATCCGCTCACATTTGGCTCACATGGGGCATCCTGTCGTGGGGGACCAGCGCTACTCGGAGGCAGTGCACTTCGAAAAGGGCTTTGCTGCTCGGCACTCGAGGCAAACACCTTTGGCGGTTCGTCAAAAGACCGTAACTCAGACGATTGAATCAGAACCTCCCCTGGCTGCCGAGGCACCTCATTTTTTGCATCGCTACCGGTTGTCCTTCTATGACCTGTATGACAAAAGGCATGAAGCCTTTTGCCCTTTACCACAGCATCTCACAGAGTATTTGGGGAAGTGCAGCCCACATCAGGGCTCGGAGAACTTGCAGCCATGGCTAGAAGGCTACCTTCAGAGCTGGTCAGATCTTCGGCGAAGCCGCTGGGTGAGAATCAGTGGGATCAAATAGACATTATATATATAATTTGTATCAAAAAGAATACGTACTCCCCCCAACTCCTTTGGTCCTGGAATGGTGGTTCCCTGGTCGCTTGGTCCCTTGGTCGTCTGGTCTTTTGTCCTCTGGTCCGTTGGTCGGTCCTTGGTCCTTTGGTCCTGGTCTTCGTGTCCTTGGGTCTGTACTTTCGAGGCAAGACGCGTGAAGGGTGATTTGGAAATTTCCTGGTCATACATCCTGTGAAGCACCGTAGCAGACCTTTTATCACCAGACATACTAGCGCTGGGGTTTAGTCACCCGGGTTTGCAGAAAGTCACCCGGCCGCATGGAAACGCAACATTAGTCAAAAGTCACCCGGCTGGCGAAAAGCACCCGCTCTATGTTAAAACACAATGTAAACGCTCTACGGAAGTATGTTTGTCAAAGCTGCTATACATCAAGAATTCACTGCCCCTGTGCAGGAAAGAGCTAGTTTTATGTCGAAGTTTGCAGCATTTTGGTGACCGAACCCCAATCAAGACGACTTTCTACAAGACCAGACGACTTAACACAAGTGTTTGTAGCAGACCTTTTGTGAGCCACCCGACGGTAAAATTTAGACAAAGGAGGTGCCATTCCAAGGTAGCAAGTGAGCCATGCCGAGGGTAAGATTTAGAACCATTCCAACGTAGCAGACCTTTTGTCAGCCTTGCCAGGGTAAAATTTAGAGAAGTTGCCATTCCGACGTAGCAGGCTTTTGCTTTGAGCAACCTGAGGGTAGAGTTTGGAGAAGGAAGGTGCTATTGTTCCACCGTAGCAGAACTTTTGTGACCCACCGGGGATAATATCTAGAGGAGGAAGGTGCCACGCCAAGGTAGCAGACCTTTTGTGGGCAAAATTAAAAGAGGAAGGAACCACTCCAGGTATTTTTTTTGGTCTGGCATTACTTTCAATGGTACCATAGACGCAACATGTGGTTCAATTATATTAGACTTTTAATGAATCAATGCGTTCTTTCTATCTGCTTTCTTCTTCCAGGTCGGCTCTCAAACGGGACTGAATCTGGCCGGGCTATCAAACAATCTATTTATATTCATTCACAAAGAGCTGCACCTGCCACTGCGAACCGCCGTGGTAGTGCTGCGATGTGAGTTTTGATGTGCAAATTTCGTGGCAAACGCAGCACTTTGAGCACCTTCAGCTGCAGATTTCGTGGCGAGCGTGGCACTTTGTGCACTGGAAGTGCAGATTTCCTAGCAAGCGCAGCACTTCGTGACACTCGAAGTGCAGATTTCGTGGCAGGCGCAACGACTTGTGAACCTTGAAGTGCAAATTTCGTGGCAAGGGCAGCACTTTGTGAACCTCGAAGTGCAGATTTCGTGGGAGGCGCGGCGGTGGGCAAACCTCTAAGTGCAGATTTCGTGGCAGGCGCAGCGATTGTGTACCTCGAAGTGCAGATTGCATACCTGAAGTGCAGATTGCGTGGCAGGCATTTTTGTGGATCTCAAGACCTCTGAAAAGAGCCCTTGATATCCCTGGATCTGAAGACCTCTGGACCTCTCTCTGCATGTCAAAACCTTTCTGGACCTTTTTGGATCTTGGCCTTTTGCTTTCGATAGATTTCAAGACCTGTCGATCTCAAGACTAGATGGATCTCAAGACCTCTCTGAGTCCCGAGATCTCTAGACTCTAGCCCTGGGGATGGCTCACCAAAGGTCTGCTACGTTGAAATGGTACCTTCCTCCTTTACCCTCAATTGGCTCACAAAAGGTCTGCTAGAAGACGTCCAGCACCATTACTGCAAAAACCTTTGAGCAGCCTTTTACGTTTACTTAGATGTAGACTGCGAAATCAGACCAGATACAGACATTAGCTATTCGTTGGAGGCTTGAAATGTTACACCCAAAGTCACTGTACTCATCCACGCTGGAAGGTTGGGTGCCAGCTGGTGGATTGATGGATGCGCTGCATGATCCAAAAAAGGTGCTTTCTGGTGTATTGTTGATCCAAGCTGTCATGTGAACACTGCCTTATGCGTTGTAGCACGCTGTTGGACATCACTGAGGATCCTGCGAAGAGACTTGGAGGTGGACCCTCTGACGGTGAGGAGGCAGTATGGGCTGGGCCCAGCGGAGTTGCATTTGCAAGTTTGCTACCACGGAGCCAATCCCTTTGCCCTGAATGAGCTGAATGCACCCCAGAATAGATTCAAGCTCAGCCTGAAATGACCGAGAAGTCCCATGCCAGGTCAAAGGCCACCCCTTCTTCACCGGCATTGATTGGTTGGCGATCCTACACCGCAGAGCAGGGCTCTCATTTCTTGTTCAACACTTCTGTCCAGCCGCCAGCCGACATGAATGCTGTCTAAGGCTTACAAAGGTGGTGAGGATATATAGGTCATAGGTAGTGTGGCCTTGCTGCAGTATCTACTGCAGTAAAATATCAGATTATGATTGTATCGTGAAGTACCACTTCTTCACTGCATGAAGTTGAAGGTCAGACGGTCATGCTCAGTTGCTCTTTTAGACAAACATGTAGATCTCCTTTTTAAGAATCCCATGGGAAAGCACGCCATTGAGGTCATTCCACCATTCAAGCCCAACGTCTCAGAGGCCCCGATCAGCTGACGCGGAAAGCCAATCAAAAACATAAGTTCACTTTTCGTAGGCAAGATGGAATGCTTGGACTTGTGGGTTGGAGGGAAGATGCAAGTGTCCAGGGTCAACAATTGGAGATAAGACATGTGCCAGGTCTTGTCGACTCCAGCCTTTCACCACCTAACCGATGGTCTTAGCAGAAGGAGGGTTTCCTACTTCAAGGTGGCTTCCCTTCCAAAGTATATAGGATACACGGCATATGTTCGCCGTGCTGAGCAAGTTTGAAGGCTTTCTTGGTGCTCCTTGCATCGCTGTGCCATAGCATTGCATGTTCGCTCAAGGATGTGTATCATCCCATGGAAACGGGCAGGGGGGCGATTCCTTGAGTGATTTCGCTTTGGTGTGGATCCCTTCCTTGTTTTCGAGAAATATGCACCTCAGCATACCTCAACTGGCCTCCACTCCTGGCAGGAGGGTGATGTGAAGTACTTCGACAAGGAGTTCGTTGACTTGCCAGTGTGGCGCTGTGAAGGAAGACTCGTGTTTGGTTGCACCTTGTGGCATGCGGCAGTTACCCTTCAGTAACGTCAACCTTCCCATCCATAGTAAAACTTTCATTTTGGAGCAGAGGTTGTAATTGATTATTTAACTTTCGTACTCGGCAAAGTTTTGTCTTAGTTGTACTAAGGCAAGCACTATGTCATGAGAACGTAGGCCTGTCTACGATGTCTTTCCCAGGTCGTAAACTCTGAAGTGGCGGATGGAGCGCACCTTCGGGATGTGAACCACTTTGAGGCTGCATTTGGTCAAGGGGTAAATCTGAGTATGAAAGGGTTTGGTAACGTTTAATGCTTCAGATTGAACATTTTGAGCTAGCTTTTGAGCTTGCAGGGCTTCACCTACCAAGCCTCGGATTTGGACGAGCGTGCCAGACCCTGAGCATTGGATCCCGCACTCCTGGGCGGAAGGCGTTCCAGAGCTCTACCTGAGATACTTTACTCTTAAACTACTGCTTACCCTTCCTACTGAAAAAGAAAGGATTTACTTGAAACACATTTTGCAGGCAGGATCCCAAGTTCACAGGGCACGTGCATTTGTGCGTGTGCAGTGTCTTGCAGATTCACCACGCGCCCTGGTCACTGTCTCATGGAAATCAATATTCATCAATACTCTTCTGACAAACGCTGTTTTGCACGCGGTTCATGTAGGAAGGCCAGGGCTGTCCTCAAGGCTGTGACGGCCTAGCAGCTGTCCAGCCTCTTTGGCTTCTGCCTTTGGCCCGAAACAGGTTTCCTCGTGCCCAGACTCTTGGTTTTAGTGAGAGTTTGCTCAAACAAAATGTGAACATCCTCATTCTGGTATAAATAAACACAATATATATATATATATATTGTTATACTGTAGACATGTCATTTGGCTCACCTGAGCACACCTCAGCACCTTGAAGTTGACATACCAATGGTTGACGGCACGCGATGCTTCTCGGGCCTGGCGGCCCGCTCGCCCGGCGAAGCCGGCCGGGTGCCCGGGCCTCCGCTCGTCCATGAGCCTTTCCGTTGAGAAGATCTCCTAGTAACAATGGCCTCCATCCTTGCTCCTAGTAATTAGCGATGCCAGGCGTTCCGTGTGTTGGGATTGCTTTGCCAGTTGGCTTCTAGATATCATGTTCCGCATCCCAAAACTGAATTTGCCAATTGGTTCAGGAAAGGCTTTTGGGAGCACAGCGACCAACGGCCGCAAGTACATAAATTCCCGTGCCGCTAGTCACTCTCCGTTACGGAGAGCGCTTGTTGCTCCGATGCTCAGTGACCGATTTTCGATGCTCACTTCGGATTGCTCGGTCTACAGAGGAGCTCCTAGATGTGCAAAGTGGATGTCCTCGATGCCCAGGAAAAAGGAGTTTGGAGTTGTTGGTTTGCCATTTTGCTGCCATGCACCGTTGAGGTTGAAAGAAGCATAAAGAAGCAAGATACTATACTCGTTAGTTAAGTCAGGCCAGCAAATACAGCAGCAGATGGGAAGAGCCAAGGATCACAGCAAAATACAGTGAAGGTAAGTCACGCAGCAGTCCAAGAGGAAGAACGCAGGACAGAGGAAGTGACCCGACATCCAAGGCTAAACATCGGAATCACCAAGCCTCCAAAAGCTCTCAATTGAATCCGAGTTGCCTGAACTTGGCATGTAGTTCTGCTGCGAACTTGTTGGTCTCAGGCAACTCGCCTTTGTCTTTCTTTGCCTTTACAGTTCATGGTTTGGCCACCCCACACGCCCCCTGTTAAGAAAGCGCAAGGGCCTCTGAGAGAAAAATACTATATATCTCATCTATCTATAAACATGGCTTTGCGTTTCAAACGATCAGATAGATAGCAAGATAGGCAAGATTCATGAACATCCTACACTTGCCTTTCCAAGAGAAAGGCCGTCCAATCATCGACTGTGCGGACTGGTCGCAACAGGCCGTTCCCCTCAACTATGTGCTATTCGCACATGAACCAGGCAGACTGAGGATTGCACCATTTCCCAAAAACGTTAGAAGTGGTATCAAAAGGTACTAGGAACAAGGACGCTACTAGATGCTACTAGTAGCTCCTGGCATCGCCACTAGGAGCAAGGACGCTACTAGGGGCTCCTGGCCTTACTACTAGGAACAAGGACGCTAGGATCCAATCGCCAGATGGCGGCAACAATCCCTTTGATCCACCCCGCGCCAACAGCCGTGCGTGGAATCGCTCAGTGTGTGGGAGCTTGGGTTGAGGTTGGCCTTAGCTTAAGCGTAGCTTTTATGTCATCAAGATGCTGCCTTTAAGCCGTCGCCGGCAATCGAAGAGTTTTTAGCGACAGCGCTGTAGCCTTTGTGCGATTGTGCCCTCGACCTTTTCCCTGTCGACGCGTGATTGCGGATTATATCGCCAGCCTGCGACCCGCCTTGTCGAAGTGATGCTCATTTGGCCGGTGGATCTGCATGCTCAAGCTCACGACAGATTGCCAAAGAAGCGAGACTGGACCGCGCTTGACCGGGTTGTGCTCGGTGACATTCTTTGTGCTCGGTTCGCATGACGCTTCTTTTTGCGTAGGGAGTGGACTACAATCTCGTCATCTCACGCGTTGGAAGTGGGCTCAGCATGGCTCAGCCATTGTTCTCACCCAACACCACGGCCCAGCAACGCTAGATTTCATGCAAGCACCCGCAAACGCCTCCGGAAGCAGGTCTTTTTCTTTCTGGCTGGTCAGAAGCAATGCTGCCCAAGCAAGAGGGCGTGCGAGATGAATGAAGCGCTCAGCCGATCCGAATCTGGTCATCGGAAAGTGAAGGTCTCGAAGGTCTTAGGACATCACATGCGCCTGAGTGGAGTTCACCAAATGGATGGTGTAGAGTAACGTTTTTCATGTGGCATTGCCGGGTGCTCTATCAAGCAAAGCTTACCAGCTTGCTGTGCCAGCTTGCTGTAAGCCCCAAGCATGCCCAAGCATGTCAGCGCAACAAGTACGAACTTATTGGCAACAGCCTGCAACAGCTATCTGATTCACCTCTTTACGACGTAGAACGAAGGCATTGAACGCCCCGGGCCCCAACTATGCTCCAAATTTGCGCAGGGTTCTTGCATCCGGCAGCTCGCTGAAATGTGCAGCGCTCATGTTTTGGATCGGAGGCGGGGCGAGTGACAGCGCACCATATACCCTATATGCGTCGGGCTGCGTTGGTCCATCGTTGCCTGGTTATGCGGCATTAAAGGATGACCTCTCCACTAAAGATTTACTGTATTTGGAGGGGGGTTGACCCATGAGTTAATGTTTCTCAATTAATTGTTTTTCCTGACAATTAAGAACACATGCATTTTCCTGGTGTATCATGTCTATTTGAGAAACAATCAAGCGGTGGTGGAGAGGTCGCTCACCCCTCAATTAACTATCGCAGAGGGTCGAAGAGGCGGTTAGGCCTCCTACTTCTTGCCTCCCCTCCCATACTTCCTGCCCCCTGCAGGACCCATATCTAGGAGGGCCTCCTGCTTCCTGCCACCCCTCCAAGATCTATATCATCCTATATCCAGTATCCACCCATATTTAATCATATTTAGGAGGCGCCTGGGCCTTTACCCTCGAGGACCAGGCCTAGGAGGCGGCAGCGACCCGGCCTCCGAACCGTTTCCGTGGATATTCGCAGCCCACTGCTTGCGCGTGGGGCTTGCGTGTAGCCGTGGCGCCGGCAAAATCGCTGGGCTCCTCGTTGCGTCCTTGCTCGAGTTCCCATGGCAGGGGGCGACACGCCTGCTATCATGATCGTCCAACGCCGATGGTTACCAGGGGTCATTTCACGGACCCCGCCCTCCTGAACACTAATGGGACAAAGGAATGCCTAAGACAAAGCGTGACGAAAGGGAACACCAAAAATCAAAGGGCTATCCCTCAGCTTACCCAACACCCATCAAATGTTCGACTTTGTGTCACGCACCTTGTGGGTAAATAACATTATTTTTGTTGAAATACATGATGAGCCATGGGGGACCACACAAACACCAAGCAGATCAAAAAAGACACAAAGTGGACAGTCCCACAGATTTCAAAGCCCTAGCAAAAACGAAAAAGCGAAATAGCGGCCGCACATGTTCACGCGAAGGGCAAAAAAGTAGGCTCAGGTGGCCAACTCAGGGGAAGCGCGAAGGTTCGGACCAAGTGGCGTTCGACGCAAGGAAACGCACAAAACTGTCAAGACCCGAAGGGCTGGAAGTTTCACATCCTTTGGAAGCTGGCGCCACGGAACCATGCACTATGCAGCAAGTGCCTGCTGCAACTTCAAATCGAGCTTCGTGAGCCCGTCGGCGTGCAGTGTACCGTAAGGTCTGCTACCCACGTTTTTCGTGGTAGCGGAGCACGAGTCCTACCGGAAGATTGTCGCCAAAGCAGTCAGCATCGCCAACGAGGCGACGGGATCGTGAGAGAAGTCCACCACCGGAAAGAGAAAGTGGTGGTACGAATGGTCCTACCATTCCAGCGAATGTACCGGCACCAACGAGTCCAACACCGAGTGCTTATGTGGACCCACCACCAGCTCCTGTCAGTGCTACCAGTCCGACCGGAGGTCAAGGTTTGACACAGGACGCGTTGATAGAGGTCTTGAGGATGTACTGAAGGATCAGGAACAGAGAGAAGCAGATGAACGCAAAAGGAAGGAAGAAGAGGAGAAACAAACTGCCGAGGAAGCAGCAGCTGCATCGCTTTCAACAGCTACCGGTTCATTCTTTGTAGCACCCAAGAAAACTGACTCAAAGTAGCCTGGAAGCAGTGGAGGGTTTTCTTGAACTCCCGGTCGCCAGCCTTGCCTCAGCGCGTATCCCTCTCCAAGCAGGTCGGGGTCTGACACCGGCAGTACTCACAGCGCAGCCAGCTTACTGTGCATCGTGGGCCGAAACCCTTCCAGTTTTGCACAGGACATCCAACTGACGGCCTCAGCCACTCACCTTGGTTTTCAAACGCATGATCCAATCATCACCCTACATCTTGCAACAGCAGCGATGAAATCCACGGAGTACACCAACGGCAGTTCCTCCTTCCCATGGTGCTAGGGGAAGGGCTATCACATCTCCGACGAGGACGTGCGTACTTTCGCTTTCATGTCGGTCTTTGATGGTGATGACTACGCACGACGAGCTCAACAACGAAAAGAGGCAGAAAATGTTGTTCGTCGCACCCGGGCTCTTCGCATCATGAGCGAGCTCAAAAACTCCACGGTCCGTCATCCAATTTGCACCTTTCTATGGTCTGGAAGAAACGATGGGACCACAAGTTTGTGCACCAAGGGAAAACAAAGTTTGGACAATGCTTTTGCAAGGCATTCGCCCAAGATGGAATGGTCCTAGAAGAGTGATCTTTCATACTTTCATGAAGTCCTGAACCACCAAGTTCATGAAGATGAACGTCGCTAGTACTTTAGATCCTCATGA